TAGATACGGCACCAATCAACGGGGCGGGAGGGGGGCGGGAGGAAACGGCGCGGGAAGAAAGCAAGCGAGAAGAGACCGACCGCGTGACGTGACATGTTGCGGTTGAAGTTCAGCCATTAGTTTTTCTGTTGCCCTCTCCCCCGTTTGCTGTCGCGTTCAGACTGTCTCTAGGGATATCCCTGTCTCTGTGCGAGTTTGTTTATGTCCTCGTCTTTGCTTTATTCTGTTTTATTTTGTCTTTTGTTTTGNNNTTTATCGCTCTGCTAACCCTTGGGGTCCATTTTATTTTGGTATACCTTTTCTAGGTACGTTAGCCTGTGACCACGGAAATTGACCGAGTCAAGTGCTGGATTAGTACGGAGAGATTGAGACAGAAGGAGGTACTGGATAGAGAGACCGGGATGGTTTTTAATGTGAAGACAACAACAACAACAACTCCAAGTCTCTTGTAGTGTCCTGCTAGAATTTCCCTTTTTCCGTTCCCACAGCTGATTAATCCACCGTTCACACCTCGCAAAGTTGCTACCCCTGTATCCCCCCCTTGCACGGTCTTTTTTACCATTCCACTAATCCCTTCCCACATCTGCTTGACGTTGCGCTTTAGGCCTCCGTTGGCCTTCTGCACTACTTCGACCCAAATACACTTTACTTCTTTTTCGCTAGTCCCTTCACTTGTATTCTCTTGGCCCTGTACTTTTCCCAACTCTCCTCAGACGCCTCACTCAAGTACTGCTTGAAGACTTCTCTGCGTTCCCCTATTTCTTCTTTCAGCTCGTCATCCCACCACTTAACCGATACCCCACATCGTACCACCTTATTTCCCACTGCTCTCTCTGCCGTTGCGTTCACGATGGATTCCCACCCTTCAATCACCCTGTCCCCTGCTGCTTGTACTAACAAGCACCGATGGGGGGGCTTGTTTCACAACGTCGTTGCCAAGCGACGAAACCCCAACGCCGATGGTAAACACCGGGGGGGAGGATAGGAGTGCTAATTTATTTCTTGGCGACGCCTTGAGCGGGTCTTGCTCTGTCGCGGCTGACCTGCTTGCAGTCCCATCCCTGTGTTGGTGCTGGTCTCGTTCTTGTGTGTCGCGAAGGTGTGAGAGAAAAGGGCGAACGTACTGCTGCCAGAAAGGCGTGTAGATTCTATTAGGCCCACACGATCAATGTAGTCCTGAGTTTCATGGGATCACCTCATGTGCGAGGGTGTGTACACCGTTGAGAATACGGCACCACCCACACAACACACGAAACACTGAGTCTCAACCAAAGGAGAACTCTGGCTTGGTTATTGCGCCGTGCATTTCCGGTGGTTATGGTTGGCCTCCAACCTCTTTACGTCTGCTCCGCTTAACTCACCAGCCGGGGCGCCTATCATGGCGCCGCGATACCCGTCCGCGTGAGCCCTATGTGCGTTTCATTTTGACAACTTCCTCCTCCTTGTTGCATGGAAACGGATTGGAACTAATGCTGCTGTTGTTTCGTATGATAGGTCTTTCGTGTTTCCTTTCCGAACTCGCGGAGGTAGGCCAATGCCCGTGCCGATGATGCTCTTCGGCGCTCTGTTCGTGAGCATCAACAGCTACCTGCAGTGTACTCACCTGCTGCGTTCGCAAGTCTACCCGTGAGTACTACTGTGCGAACTATCGGTCGATGGTGGTGCATGCGTGCATACATGCAAACGTGAGATTGAAAAGCTTGATCTCACTGATGCCGCCGGCTTTGGGCTTTGGGCATCGTTTTGTGTTCCCCATCCGTAGGGCTCTCTGCTGATCGGCACTCTCTTTGTCAAGTGTGGGTGGTCAGGACATTTCACCCGCAATTTCGGGAGTTTGGTACGATGCGTGTGTGGTTCTAGCACACACCAGGTGGTTGAAAGGCGTTGGGAGGGTGCAGTTGAGCAGCAGAAGTGTCGTGGGGTGCAAACGGGCTAGGCTGCGGATGACGATCTTCGGGGTTGTGTGTCATCTACCTCACTCTGCCCTCCTCAAACCAGTAGCCTTGGCAGGGCAGGGTTTATCTATTATGCAAACAGGTTGAATAAAGCATGCGATCGGGGAAGTTGGGTTTGGGTTAGGGCTAGGGAATAGGGTCTGCGTACCCCCTGCCTGTTTTGTTTCCTCATAAATTTGATTTCTCGCGGAGGCGATTCCTTCAAACCCTCTCTATAGCCTCTGGTTGTTGTTACTGCTGTCTTGCTGCTGCTGCTGCTGTTGGTGTTGTTCCTCGCGTTGACTCGTCGGAAGGAATCAACCATTTGACCATCAACCAGACAAGGACATGCTACATGTTAAACATCTACCGGAAGGTTGTCTACGTTAGGTTAGCTGCTATCGGCGAGTATAGCATGAACGTTGCCATTGCGTTTGTCGTCGTACGTTTCGATGCTGGTTTTGTTGTCATGCAGCAACTCTTGGTTTGGAGACCCGCGCTTCGTCATTGGCGCAGCGACTTTCTCTGCAGGTGCGTTGGTCGTTGCGAGCTTTTTTCTCAACTTTTGCTTGTCGTGCTTAGAAGCGTTGACACTCATGTTGGCCATAATTTACACTCCGCACGAGCTGTGAAGGTCTGCATGGATTTTGAAAGCTGCTCGGGTCAAAACCGGCCCATATTTGCGTAGAGAAGCAGGACATGTTTTGGTAGAGAAGACAACGTGATTTTGGTTCGTGGAATAGTTTCGCAAGGTTCGGTTTGGCCGAGTCAAGACAGGGTATTGAAAAAGTGGGGGCATTTCAAGCCATCCGTCCGCGAAACTATTTTGTGATTCTCATGCAAAATGGCGCTCGTTGTAGTGGTGCCTAATCGTTGTTGGCCTTGTTCACCTCATGTCACTCGGGTCGTGTTGGGTGAAACGAATTACTTGATCTATGTATACCCTCGGCTGTACAGTTCGAACTACAATGCAAGATATCCGCCAAGAATCGTGGCTCCATGTATTGATCTACGTATACCTTGGCTGTAACAGAACAATACTTGGCTGTACAGTCCGAACTAGAATGCATGATATCCTCTAAAGTCGTACCCTTGCTGAATGTATCATCGGTAGTTATGTGCCATCCCTTGTATGGCGCTCGTAGTATGTATCATTATCTTCTATTTTTTCGTGGGTCTCTGATCTCTGATGGGTCGCTCCTTCCTTCCTTGTGCTCGTCCTCGCACCGTGCTGGCGTTACCTTCCACTCGAACCAACCAAAAGGTATGTTCATCAACTGTCAATCCGATGGAATCTTGAGGCGGCTTCGCGGCCCAGGAGAGACTGGCTACAAGATTCCAGAAGGTGCGCGCAACACCAAACTGTAGCTGTACCAGCGCACCACTAGCGACACAAAAGTACTGCTGTATGCTTGGGCCCACAAAGAAAGCTGGCTGCTACCCTTTTTCAGCCTCTGATGAAGAATATCTTGAGAGCCTTTCCGTTCTTAAGAGATAGAACGGATCGTAATGTTGTGATGGTCTGGAGTGTTGTTTTAGAACCAGAGCCGTTACAGTGCCGCATCGTACGCATCCTCGCGAACAACACGACAGTAAGCTTGAGCCAGTTGGTGCTGCTCCTTAACCAACAGTAGCCACCGCAAGTTGTGTTGGACTTTTCTAGCAGTGTGCTTTCACGCATCCCTAGATCTGAGAGAGGAGTATGTTGAAAACTGCTGTGGACTTGGAGTGCTATAATAGAGAATAGAGTGCCATGGATCTGCTGAGGTTTTTCTTCTTTGCTGCCTAATCCGACGATGTTTCTTGGGAGACCGACCGCATTTATGCAGCATTGCTTCACACTCGATATGTACCAACTTGCTTTCATTGACCTCAGGAAAGGAGCCGCCGCTCCTTGCCGGTGTTCTTTAGGTAGACTGGTAGTAGTCCATACTGTTCGAGGTTTCTCATGAGGGCAGTTGACCATGTCGTGAGCGTCGCAGAGCAATAGCCCAGTCTGGCGACATGACCAATATAGATCAATCAGAGCAGCCCCCTTGTCTCAGCCACTGTTCGGAAACTCTCTTGCGTTGTGGTAGTCGCAACCTGCAGCAGTTGATGCCATCCTCCCTACCCGCACTACTACTGTCTGGGCCGAAATCACCCGCTTCCGTGGAACACCTCAGGTGGCATGTTCGCGTACGTGTCTAGCGCCAACTACTTCGGGGAGTGTGTCGAGTGGATCGGGTGCGTACATGTGTAGCAGCCTTGCGATGTTTTCAACGTTTCATAAGAGGACATGTGCGACATTTCGGTACACGGTTTTGCGTTCAGTCTGTGTATACAAACGTGAGACTCTCTCGTTCTGCGAGACTGCAAGCTATGCATACGTCCTTGGGGTTTC